CAGGGTCCGTAGCGGTCCTCATTCATGCTCACAGATGCTGACGGTCTAGCCCGAGAATATCGTCCGCATTGCAAAAAAAAAAGTAAAAAAAAGGAATGGCGCTGACAGGAGGGTATCGCAGAAGCTTGGGTGTAGTAGAGTGGATTTGTTATTCACACCTTTTCAGACTGAGGGCAAGATTCAAGCGTGAGGGTTCTTTGGGTTATTCTGTCGACAATCCGACATCTCCGACAATCCAAACGTTCCACTAGTCCGAGCAGCTGATGACAAGACGATTTCGGGTTTTAGATGAGTGGTCAGGAAAACTTCTACGATTCATGTCGTTGGAACTAAAAACCATCTTTATATGGGCAATCAGATCAGTAGAAAGTTTCAAAATCTGCAACATTACATCAAAAATGAAGGCAGCGCATAATATCTCTTTGGACTCCTTGCCCCGACTGGCGAGTAGACAGAATTTCCGGAGACTTCTGAGAAAGCAGAGCACAGAAATGTTCCACACCATCTAAAAACCTCAAATTATTACCACTATTACCACATCGTTGAATGACAGGGTGGGAAACTAGAGAGACGACAAAGCTAAGAGGTTGCATTGTACATCACGAGAAGATGAAACGATTAAGAAAGAAGTGATGTGTAGCCAATTAATATCCTAGTGGTGATGAAAAGAAATGCTCATTTGTGTTGCTGCCTTCTTGGCTTGTAGTCCTTAACACTGGTTGATTACGTTTTTTTAGCTTGTCCTGTTCGACGGCAAACACAAACTAACATCACAAAGTACGCAGCCAAATCTGTCAAAATATTTCCTGCCGAAAAGATCTGATGGTACGGTCATATTTTACTATTACACAATTTCGTGCTTGCTCATGAGGATGTGATTGCTTCCTTAATAGGGCCGTGTTCTATGTTAGGCAGCGTTCAGACTTCGCGACGGCAGCGGTCGCGCGTTCGACGCGATCGATGCGCATGCTTTCGACTGCATCGATCGCGCAACCGAAGCGCTGCCGTCGCGGAATTTGAACGCTGCCTTAGTGATGACACGCTGCCATGAAGGCAGTGAAGATGGATCAGTCAGAGCAGGCCTCTAGTATTTCAGGAGAGTTTAGATGAACAGGAGATTGCCAGACTGTGCGCTAGTGTTGTGGGAAGTGGAGGAAAGTAGCAGACTTCCCTGATACCTCTGCTGTGTTCACCAAGATACTAGTGCACACAGTCTGGTGCCCTCCTATGCTCCTATACTCTCCAACCTCCAGCACTGTGGCCAATCGATACCCTTGTATGGCCGCGTGTATTGGACTGGAACATTGCTGCAACCGTAGCGCGACCAGGGTACAGCATCGTGATATGTGAAACGGTGATGCCAGTACGACACCCCCCCCTTCCGCTTCTCCAGCACCTACTTAGCAATTGCCCACATTTTCCAGTTTTTTACCCAAACATTGAAAAACTTTCGGTCGGACGGCTGGGAGGGGATATATACCCAGTGTGAAGCAGAAAAATTTTTTGGATTGTCCCTGACTTCCTACCGCTTTTTCCGGAATTCCCCGAGAATTTCCACTATTATTACCCAAAAATTTTGCTGTCGAGCGGGGGGGGGTGGTATATAGTACACATGAATCAGGAAAAATCACGCGAAAAGTCAGCGACCGGAAGAATCTTTTTCCCAACGCGATTTCTCTCAGAGCCACGTGCGACCCCCCCTCAGCTGGAAAATACGACCCCCCCCTATGTTTTTCAACACAACGATGCTGTTACCCGAGTGCAACGACAACGACGCGCTTTGCGGCGCGTTCCCCTTTGTTGTGTATTGCTCGCGTCATCGCGAAGCGTGAACTCTGACTCGGTAAAGAATGCTGCATGAATTACCCTTCTTTCTGAGGTGTGTGGTGTTAGTGACGTGTACAAAGACCGAGCTGACTGCTACGATATCAACTGCAGTAAAAACATCTACCTCAAAGAAAACAAAACAGATCACACTAGCAGGTCACTAATTTTGTTCACCCACTCAGTAGGAGCACCTCTGAGGAGGATATTCGATCTTTTTGGAACCGTGGAACAGTTGAAGGTATAGAACAACATTAACGTGGTTACAAAGCCCCCAATATGTACTCACAGAAACTCCAATGTTGTGCAAATAAGAGCGTCTTGATGCTTGGGGATGGCTAGACAATGGATTTGTCTGCAATAACAGGCAAAACGGATCATCTGTGTTTCGAAGTGTATTCCTATTCCAATATTTCTTTTTCTTTGCTCCTAATTGCACTGATTACGCTGGAAAATTAAATCATCCAACGCAACATTCCTGACCCATTCACAAGAAATTAAAGACACATTCTGCGATTATCATCTGACCTCAGAAAGGTCCGTAGTTCACCTCGAGAACTGTCTAATTTGCTGTGGCTTTTTTTCTATTTACCTCTGGATTCGGCCAGTCAATTCTTTTGAGGATGAGGTACATATTATGGCAAGCTACATGCTAATCACCCGCGGTCCACGATTAAAGCCTAGATCGGCTGCAGTACAAACGAGGGAAGCCTTGTACCGTCCGGGACTGCAGGAGAGATTGATGATCAGCTAGGGTCTCTTATAAACTCTTTATTCACTGCTAAATGAGCATTTTTATCTTTCGTTTTGCTCTTAGCACGTAAGAGTCATCTGAAGCGCAAATTCCGCTCCTCACAACATGAGGATGTTGACATCACTGCGCTGTTGGATGGTGATCGAGTTCCAGCTTTCATCTGTTTCAATCACACCACTCATGAGCTGAACATGTTCAAAATATTTGTGCTTTTTGCATTGCTAATTCTTTCTAGACTGCGAAGGAGAAGGAGGCGGATGCAGCGTTCTTTATGGGACACATTACTATCATGATATACTGAAATTCCTACCGACGCTACAGCGAATAGTAGGCCAGCTGGTAATTGAAGGCACTAGTTTGACCAACTTGTCTATTCTGGAGAGGATAACCATCATTGGACTTCAGTGTGAGTGTTTATTTTGATAAATTCCGAATCTTACCAGAACACTGCAAATGCTTCAAACTCACTTAATTTACTTCATGGTTTGTGTGCTTTTCGTACCTTATTCGTGCACGGACATGTATGGACGAAAGGAAAAATGAAAACTGAAAAATGCAAAATACTTTGATTTCCGAGGAATAGGACCAACAACCCTACACTACTACCCGAACGAGGATCCTGCACCCTATTGGCTTGGCCATCCGATCACCTGTAAATTGTGTTGCTTCAAGACACTTGACGCAAATAAGACTCCTGCGACCATTTTTCACATTGATTTTAGTAGTCTCTCGAAAAGGACCTTCCGCTCAGCATATGACCAGAGTTCCATAGGTTCTACTGCACATACACTGTACTTACGCTGCGGACGGTTGGGCGTGTCAGCCAGTATGAGTGTGTCACCCTCTTTGAGCTGTTCTCTGCCTTCTTGTTGAAACGGGCATGCGACAAAGCAGTAGAAAACAAGTAATACGAAAGGTATGATACAGTATTGTCATTTGCTCGCTTGAACAACTCGTGGAGAACGAGTTTGGCACCGCGCCAAACGCAGCCGCACGAACACGCCCAACCGTCCGCAATGAACTACACTATATAGGCTCAAAAGGAAGCGCTTCACATGAATTCCTTTTTCGCTTCTTTTTTGCATTCCTGGAGCCGCCCAGTTAAAATAAAGCCCATTTTTGTGATTCCTGTGCAGGGCCCTGCAAAACCATTTCGAAAAAGCGGGGTGCGCCCTGGACGATCTCCCTTGTAAGGACCTAGCACATCTCACCTCTCTGAAGCCGTGATAAGAAAGGAATGATAAAGAAAGATACAGATTGCGAAGGCGTAGTCAGGTTACCGTGGCTGACCCGCCGTGCTTTTTATTCAGCGCTTTCAAGAGGGACTGTATTATTGTAATAGTATAGTCACGCTCCATGAACCCATGGCATACCATTGACACACTTTATTACTAAAAGGCTCTCTATTAGGAAATAGAGGAAAAATGAATCGGCTGGTTCTGCTGGCGCTGTTGAAAAAGACCTGCGGCACACTAGTTGTTATTTGATTTCTCATAGCATCGATTGACTATCCAATATGGTCTGTGTTAACGAGAAGTCGGTGCAGTGTGTTCTACACCTACGAACGGTAGCGGCTTGGTTTAAACCATCCGAGAGTTCCGACAGCTAATATATAAGCTGGATTAGAAGCGAACATTATGGCATTAGTATGATGGCGGGAAAATCTGGTAGAAAAACATAGATTTTGGATGCTTTTTTCGGCGATCCGCGATCAAGTGTCACCGAAAAAAATTTTGAACGGATTGAAGACCCAGTTTGGGGGAGATCGTGGTCACCCCATAGCTCTGCCTTCTCGAACACCTTCATCAGACGAAACCCCTCCGATCAGCAAGTTCCTGAAGTAGGCATCTAATCTTTTCTCGACGAAAAGTCACCGGATTTCCCTGAGAGGCATAGATCCTATGGATTGGCTAATAATGGTTGTGGGTCAATACGAATGAGTGTAGCGCGGCTTTCTTCTTCTATCTAACTTAAAACTTCGCATGATGTGTAGTTATCGTTGCAGGATTTCAATAGACGTTGCAAAACTGAATGAATTATGCTTTAGTTTGTTGAAACTCGGGTCTTTCTTAGTGGTCATCCGGAATTTTGCGAGACATGGTTGTATGTTCCTATGTGGCTGCATTTCGAACCAACATGCACATTTTTAAAAAATGGGCATAACAACTGAATTTTTATTCTATTCAGTGCACTCGATTTTCGAGTGACAGCAAATCCTCTTGTTCACTTAAGTGCTCATAATGTCTCTTTGTATTTCAGCTCCAGCTCTAGTAGTGAGAAATAACGCAGAGCTTCGCGACGTGACGTCCATTTACAAGATGAAGATAGATGGAGCTGCACCTGTTCTGGATTGGTTCAACAACGGTTCTAATTGGTGTCACCATAGAGCAGAAATTATTATTATTAAAAGTCTTACAGAGAAGCCTTACCATGAATTGATAACTCGTAAGTTGCTCTTCGCTCTTCTGACCTTCTGAAATCAACCACTCTAGCAAACGGGCCACTCTAGCAAACGGGAAGACTGCATCAATCCACCCTGCTTCATAAGGTTGCTATCAGTTAAGCGCTGTTGCCTAAATTGATTGAGCTATTTTTAAAACTGCAACTATCTCCAGTTCATTCTCTGTTTCCTCCGAAACCCAGTATAAAAGGAGTCTTCGAGTCATGGCTTCGGAGAACTCGAGAACACTCGAACCTTCCTTCTGGAAAAGTGCAGTGGTTTTTACCACTGAATTCATTCTAAACTTGCAGGCAGACTATTCAGGGACATTCAGACATTATAGGGCGCTTGCGCAATGAAATGACGTTCCAGTGATTAGGACCATTTACTACCTCCACGAACGAGGTTTCACCGGAAAAAATGTGGAATTCTTGACATATATTAGACTTTCATCTTCGTTCCCTATCAAGCTGGCAGCCAGATGTGACATTTCTGCGCGCCTTCTTTATGACTGCAGCTCGCTCGGTTGTCTGTCAATCATCATAACATTTCCTGAATCCAGCCGAACTCTGAAGGCCGTGGTTTCTTGCAAGAACGACTGGAAAGACCTGCTATGCCCCTTTTTGGGCTTCTTTTCAGGCGCTTGTGTTGTGATAGGCGCTAGCGCTTCACCTTGTTAAACTTGAGCCAAAATTTCTGTATACCTCTCTAGTTTGATAGAGGAAAAAATGCTTAATGAGATAGAAGCAGTACTCCAAGAGAAACCGTAGGCACTAATCAACCACTACATTCTCGTGGAAAAAAACGAGGCTTTTTCACTAAAACTCTGCTTGCGGAGGTAAATGAAATCCCTTATCACCAATGTGGCGCTATTTTTTTGCTCTGGTAAAATATAACGTTTATTTTTATGCGTTCTGGATTGCCATACATCGATAGTTGAGTAGTAGCGGCTGCCATTCACTTGTATAGGGAAAATTGTCTTGAATGGACACATAAAGGCAATCTGAGCTGACTTCTATTGCACGCTAGTAATGAGTTTTTATGATTTTGCATCTTTTTTGATCAACGGCTAGCACACTCTGCTATAAGCTAATGCGACACACTGGTGAACCACTTCAACTTTCATGCTTCGAGCTGTAGGCACGACAACCACCATCGCTCAATGATCATGGATCAGTGGGGGGAAAATCACGGTGTTTGCGATATACCGTGAAAGAATATAAATTCAAATGACGACAGACCTCAGCAGTACTGAGATGTGCTCTTCACTAGCCCGAACCGCTTTCGAATATTCGGAAAGAAAGCTACGAGACTAAGAAAAAAAATCGGAAGTAGTCCAAAACTACAGGATTCAACGACTGAGCAGTGGATAACTCACTGGTGAAGGTAAAAAGGTCAGTCCGGCCATTTGCAATGAGGTGCACAAGTTCCCACGCGTATTGAGATGGGGGAAACGTTTCTCTGGACAAAATTATGAAGATTTTGCTCCATGTTCTTTCTTAGAGGCCCGTTGGCGCTGACGAGCCGGCGCATCCGAGTGGGTGAACAGGGCTGTTTAGCCGCCCGTAAAAAATGCGTGATGATTATCATGTCCAGGGGCCGTGACTCCTTTAGTAGCACTCTAGCAGATCCTTAGAATTTGGACTCACATTCGAACGAATGAGTTCGGGCTCCATGGTTGAATAGCAGTTATCATTTGTGCTGATATAACACCTGAATAATGTCATTTTGTGAAGAACAGTACCATTCTCACGTGTTCGCCCCCCCCCCCCCCCGATCATCTGTATCATTTTCCTGATTACGGGGAGGGGATTTCACTTCAGTACCATTCTGCGGGAGGTGAGCTCCATGCTGTTTGTCCTCAGCGCATAGAATACCTCTTTTTTTTCGAAGTCCGGTCAAAATCTTTCGTTACGTCTGAGAAAATAATCGCCCTCTCTCTATTAGAGCAGTGACTTGCAGCAGGGATGGAAGGAGCGCGTGTGTCGTTTCTCGAAGAAAAATGCAAGCAAGGAATCACCGTTAAAGCATCTCACAGCCATCAACTTACGAGCGCTGATACTGGTTGCGCTTTTTTTCTTTATTTTTGCGGGCGCCCATTTGTATTTCTTATCTTCTCTTCACATACGTGAGGACGCTTCCACATTTCAAGCGATAGTATCACCTGTAAAACAACAACGCGAGAGAAAACCCTCCATAACTCCGTTCAGAGAAGAGTTTCCGAAATTGAGAAATAAGATTTGAACACAGCGTCTTGAGACCCGTACGCCTGTATGCGTCCCACAGCAATGCGCGGATTTGACGAACACCTCCCTGGTCAGGAAATTTTTCAAAGGGTTCTTTATTTCGTTTGATTTGTTCATGTTTGTGAATCCTCGTACATTTTTTGCCACCTTCTCCTACTTTTTGATTACATAACTAATATCGAGCTGCGTGATTGATAAACTCTCGCGGCATTGTCAGGAATCCGTCTCCAGTAGGCCATGCATGTTGTCATTTTTAGCCCGATTTGCTCACCCCAGTTAGTACATTGTGAGCTATATTCAATTTGATTCATCCTCCGCTAAGACAGTGAATGAAGAAAAAAAAACCATCAATACTAAAAACGAGCTTCATGAGAAATGAGAGAAAGTGAAAGACACATGTAGTACGATCAGCACACAGTTTGGGTGTGCATGACTAACAGCCCCTAGCTGTCGAAGCGTAGCAGTTTCCCCGTCCTAACATGCGCAGGAATGGAGATACAGGACCGTGAATTATGATAATCCCATCCACTATTCCGGCCAAGCGGCGCAACTCCGTTATGCTAAAGCGTCGTTGCGAGGCGAGCCGCGTGCGGCTTCTCCTGGCTCTTTCTGTAAGTTTGGGTGTGCGTGACTATGAGCACCCAGCTGTTGATGCGGATATTTCATGGTCCTGTATCTCCATTCCTGCGCATGTTAGGACGGGGAAACCGCTACGCTTCGACAGCTGGGGGCTGATAGTCACGCACACCCAAACTATGTGTGATCGTACCATGTGTCTTTAAACAAAGGAATCAGATAAACGTTGGAGCGCCCCACCGAATTAGGAGCTAGGAGTTTGAAAAAAAAACTCAGACGCGGAGTGTGTAAAGGACATTTTAAATGCACACGTGACAATTAACAAACGCAAGTGTGGCAGCAAAAGTGTTCCGTGGAAAGTATCTATTTGCGTATTTCGTGTTTTCCAGCGATATCTATCGAAGGAGGTTCTGTCACTCAAGCTTTTCTCAACAGGCTCAATACGGATTGCAAATGTCTATGCGAAATCAATGGAGACCTGGAAATCAAAGGACTGGACGGTAAATGAACTTTCAACAGATAACATAAACACGAGACACTGATCAAAATTATTGAGCAGCCTGAACACACATCCCTCGATTGCCGGGTGGTTGTGCTCTTCTGCAGGTAGAGCTCGTCCACAATGTGAGAGACTACACCAAGAGATGTGTTCAGAGTTGCTCAATTTTAACATGGCGCAGGATGCATTTCCGGTGGCATAACTACGTCCAAGACAACTTAATCCTTTCTTGCGCGGAACAGAGACATCAACTTGAAGCGCAAACATCCCAATAGAAGCGCAGCCGCGATCACAATGAAATACGCACCAGGTTATGAAGCGTACTGTCACATAGTTTGGGGCCCAATCACGCACTAACCGAGGCCGTTTCGTTCCTAGCTATTTAAGGTGCTACCGTACCTGTGTGACCCGTACCCCGTCCGTACCTTTCCGCTCTCTAGCTCTTGTAACAACATTTTTTGAGATGTAGCTATTTTCGCAACAACTTCACAGCTTCTGTTTCTTTTTCTTTTTCAAATTAGTTTTGCTATCTTTTCTACTTGATGAACATGCTGCTTGTGTAGCTAGCATAGCTCTCTCAATCAACACTCACAAGGATATTTCCAAGGTGGAGTGTTCAGAATTGGTCTAGTGAACAGAGAATTGCTTCTGGTTCAGTCTGTAGGTATCAGTGTTGCTCGTTACAGCTCCCTTCCCCCGAGGGAGCTAGGGTGCTCAACTAGATAACTAAATACATTTCAACGAATTGATGACATGGTCAGAATCTCTCGACAATGTCATCAATTCGTTGAGATCCCGAGTTTTGGAATTTCAAGTACACTGGATGCTTGACCTTGCAATGCCCAGCTTCGGCGTTCACCTTTCAAGCCAAGAATGTTGCTATCAACGAGCCGGTCGAAGAGTCTTACGCCTGAGAATCTGTTGAGAAATATTCGGAAATCGGTGAAACCACGGTGTCGTCTGGAGTATGCGCAGTGCAGAGACGGAAGAGATAGCGTCAACCTAGTTTCTCTAACTCCCTTCTTTCGCCTTCATCTCGTCCCATCTATCAGCCATAACACAGGAGGAAACACTGTCAGAAAAGCCAGTGCTGCCAGTGCTTTTCAGAGTTTGAAGACTACATTACAATGTCACCTGAAGCGGCCACCATTGCATCGTGCCACATCAGGCCTGGGAGTTCACATCCACACCTCACCGCACTCCAGTCAAACAACAGCGCTGACGCCTCCATTACCTTTCGCACGACTTTACCGCAGCTCTACGTCCACATTTAGAGTCGACCGCCGATTTCTGAATTTTCTGCAGGCAACTAGTTCACCTCCGCAAATCCGTGGAAATTTCGAAGCCGCAAGGAGACAACCATAGGTATAGCTTATCCTAGACAAGGCGAGTGATACGTGTCCAATAACAACGATCGACACCATTCAACTATTACTACCCCATTTTCCGAAAACAGGCCTGGATTTTGATCGACTTTTTTCTACGGGGGTGGATTTGGCTGAAAGTTGGGTTCTAGGGGTAATTCGACCTCCTGAACACGAATATCACATCCACTTGACTGGAAATTGCCTGGATTCCCGCGCCACAGGCGCCTGCGTCAAGTTATCCCAGATCACCAGACCCTCTGAGAATTTTGCCCATGGATAGTTTGACCTCCTTAACACGAATATCAAATCCACTTGACTGGAAACTGCCTGATTCCCGCACCACAGGCGC